CGCAGCGGCCATGGCTGCAGTCGTGAAAGCGAAGTTGGATTTTTGGTGCATCGACGTTCTCGTCCACTCAGAGGACGAAAAAAAAGAAGGCGGGTTATTGAATGTGGTAATTAGGCGGAACAGGCGGAAGAGCGAGAGAGGCGTTTTGCTTTATCTGATTCCTGATTGATATGTCACTGCGAAACGGTATTTGCATTGGGCAGTGCGGGATGTCACTGTTAGCAATGAATTGGTGGTCGGAGGCGAGGATCTGATAATGCGTAAAGGCAGAATGCCAAGACTTTGGGGGATTGAGAGGTCTCTTTATGGAGAGAACGAGGAAAAAGCAGTGAATGAAGAGTGAGACAGCGGAGAGACAAAATGACATACAAGTGCAGTGATATGCAGGTGTATTTAGAAGAAGAGGCGGCCAGATGGCTGATGAGTGTAGACATGGTTGATTTGGGACTGATTGATTGATTAGATCTGTCACTGATCATCTTTGAGTGGTTCTTGGCAGCCATTGGCAGGAAAGCCGACTTCCGAGCAACAGAGTGCTGCAATGTAAACTGAAATTCCCGTCTGATCAGGATCAAAGAACGGCTTAAAGCTGCTGATCGTCCAGACGAGGGTATTTACAGCTGATGATCAGACATGCCGTGTCGAAGATCGTGGATTGGAGAAGGGGGAGACGAGGTGTTGTGTCAAACGGTGTTGGAGAACGAAGACAACGGGTATGACGCCAAGTCGCCGTCATTGGTTGATGAGGAGAGGTACGGGTTCCATTTCAGTTCGAAAAATTCTTCCGAGACTTCTTCTCTCCGTCCATTCAGAGCTGGCGAGGATGAATTCTTTTCTACTTTGTGGAGGCTATGAGAGACCGGTGGCATGATGGACACCATAAATTCTGTGTTGAGAGAGACAGATTGAACATTCTTGAGCTGATGTCAAATGACATTCCAAGACTTTGATGAGAGCTTCAAATCTCAAGAAGCCGAAGACAACTCCAATTCCAGTCTCACTGAGCTCCCGTCTGGGTTTCCGTGGACAGGCCATGGGAATCGTTAATGTCTGTCCCGACACCTCGAAGTCTAATTAGAACACCAATTATATCCCTCACAGTTGTCACCAAAGCTTCATAGCATTTAGTTGAGGCTGGAAGGCTCTTCGCTCTCAACTATTGATGTTACTCACGGCTATCCAAGGCATGTGGTGGCATTGGAACAGCACTTATCCTTATCAGACCGCAGCTGGAACGTCCATAAACAGAATTGGAAATTCGATCCCGATTCTCATGCGGATACTTCCGGAGACATTCACCACGGCTATGGTCGTCTTTGTTCTTTAGAAGATCAACCTCTCTTTCCACCATCAAATTCATTAGAGGTTGGTCAATTCACAGCTGCTCGGGGGATTGGACCTGGCTTCGGGAGCAGGAGATCGTGAGATCTGGGTGACCCGAATATCTATCTAAATACTGATAATCTTCTTGCAATTATCAGTCAAACCGATCCTGGCATTCTAGTACCCTTTTGATGATTTTCAGCTCCGATCTCATTCCGGTCTTTCTGAGGTTCATCGCGAGTCGCCTGCCTCTACACCAACATTGCGACCTCGACTGCACTCACTCACCAAGACAGTCACAATATCTCAGTATCATAACTCCCAAGATTGATCAATTAATTCCCTTCGCCAAAGGTGGTCAGAACTTGGATTTTCTATCATCCCGACCATCAGATACACAGTGCGCGTCATCATCCAAATTTTCAAGTATCCAGTGCTTCGTGATCAAAGTTTTCCAAACTATTACCCCTTCAAAACCTCGCTGGCACCTCTTCGGGTCACGGATTTCTCACTGCGCATGGCGAACCCCTCCGTTGACGGCATTAGCTCATTGGCCCACACAACTTTTTTATCTCATCGCTCATAAGAAGAGGAAACCCTCCCTCATCGCAAGAACTTCTTTTTCATCTGATCCTAATTTCCCAGGGGGCATTCAATTCTTATATATATTCCACGCAAAATCTAAAACTAAAACATCCCTGAATCGAAAAGTGCATCGCGCTATTCTTTGTCTCATCCCGCGAAACGCAGCCACTGAGAACCCTTGAATCTCGTCACCACGCAGGGGACGAGGTCATCGTGAACCTCAAGCGACCTCAATCCGGGGAAAAACACCCACTCCCAAACGCGGGGGCACGCACCGCATCAATTCAATCCCAATCCCAATCTACCAGCATCCCACCACGACAAAGCCACGAGAGAGCCACCCCGGGCTTCGCCAACCATCAAGATGCACACACCACACAGATCCTACACGCTCCCCCTCCCCCTGCACCGCCACCTTGACCCCTCTCAAACCCAATACCCAGAAGCTCGGGTCCTGATAATCATGACGGGCGGGACTATCTGTATGAGGCATGGTCCTAATGGGTTAGTTCCTGCGAGGGGGTTTTTGAGGGAGGGGATGGCGCCTAGGCCGAGTTTTAATGATGGGAGTATGCCTGGTATGTTTTGATTCTCTTTGTGTCGTGATTTGAGTCTTGGTTTTGGGAGGGGATGAGGGATGACGAGAGATGGAGGTTGCAAAGGATGGGAGGGTGAAAGGGTAGAGGTGGAGGAGAGGTGGAGGCATTTGGCAGGGGAGCTGGAGCGTGGGATGGGATGGGGTCCCAAGGAGAATCAGTGGTTCGCTTGAGGAAGGGGGATGAAGCGAGTGCCTTAGGGGGGATCATGAGTGTTGACGTTCGGCTGAGAGTTCAGTTCTCAATCTCATCTCTCCGCATGTTTTGTTCTCCGTCTCTGATCTCAGCCCACAACTTCTGTTGCTTCTCGTTTTGTTTCTCCCCCATCAACGTTCTTTTCATCACATGTTTAGAACCCCATCATGTCCCTAGCTAATACCCTCAGATCCCCTCCCCGTAATTGTAGACGACAACCGAAAAGAATACCTCCCGTCCCTCCGCACCCCGCCATCCACCTACTCCCGCCACGTCCGCTACACCCTCCACGAATTCCCCACCCTCCTCGACTCCTCCTCCATCTCTAGCGCAGGCTGGACCCAAATCGCATTAACCATAAAGCGCAACTACTCCCTCTTCGATGGCTTCGTCGTTCTCCACGGCACCGACTCCCTCGCCTATTCCTCCTCCGCACTCTCATTCATGCTCTCCCATCTCGGGAAACCCGTCATTCTCACAGGATCCCAAGCTTCTATCTTTGCTTTGCAGTCAGATGCTACAGATAACTTGCTCGGGAGTTTGATCATTGCAGGAACATTCATGATCCCCGAAGTCTGCCTCTTTTTCCACCATAAACTCTACCGCGGAAATCGCTGCACCAAGATATCAGCAACCTCATTCGACGCCTTCGCATCTCCCAACATGGCTCCACTCGCCACCTCTTCCGCTCTCGGAGCGGAAGTAAACTGGTCTTTAGTCCGCCGTCCCCGAACAATCGCACGTTTCGACGTCCAAACAAACTTGGACACCGCACACGTAGCCTGTCTGCGTATCTTCCCTGGTATAAAGCCCGAGATGCTGGATTCTGTTCTCCATGTCCCGAATCTGAGGGGATTGATACTCGAAACCTTCGGAGCAGGCAATGCTCCAACAGGAGAGGATGGCTCTATGACGAGGGTTATCAAGAATGCTGTCGATAGGGGGATTGTGATTGTGAATGTCAGCCAATGTCAATCAGGCTTCGTGTCTCCCCTCTACGCTCCCGGTGCGGTATTGGGACAGGCGGGTGTGGTGTTTGGTCATGATCTTACTACGGAAGCTGCATTGACCAAATTATCTTACCTCCTCGCTTTACCGGGGTTGAGTTACGAAGATATTATCACGCAGATGCAGCTCAGTTTGAGAGGGGAGATGACAGAGTTGAGTTCTACGACTTTCAGTCATCCAGGGAGTGATGTACCAGTCATCGCCAATCATCAGACAGCGTTCACAGCTCTGGGACATGCGATTACGAAGGGGGATGTAGATACGGTTATCACGCTCCTAGATGCCGATTCTCATGGTCTCCTAAATGCGAAAGATTACGCCGAAAACACAGCGCTTCATCTCGCGTCCGTAGGGCCAGATTCGAAAGTCCTTCGCGAACTCCTGAAGCGAGGCGCAAGTGTTCATGTCCGAAATCTAGCAGGGAACACTCCTCTCTACCTCGCTGTCAAAGTGGGCAACACAGAGATCGTCAGGCTTCTAGAAGAAAGTGGTGCTCTGCTACATCCTGAAGAATTGGAGAGGGTAAAGAGACTCGGTGGAGTGGATGGCCATGAGGTTAGAGCAGACAGCTCTGCCGAGGGAAGTGACAAGGAAGGAGAGGCTGTTTCAAAGAGTAATGGCAACGAGGACGGTCACGCAGGAGATAGGGCTAACGAGAGGGAGAATGGACATTTGAGTGATACCGCGAATGGGAATGGACATGGGCATGTTGTTACGCCCCCGAATGGGAAATTGGCTGCTTCATGAAGGGGATATGAGAGGCTTGGACGAGATCACTTTGAAGAGGGTCGGGGTACCATGTGCGAAGGAAGTTGTTCACGAGACGCGGACTCGTGCTCTTCTGAGAAATACTTCAAAGCGAGAGATGAGGTCAAGGAGGATGAAGAGAGGAGGCCGAAGCCTGTCAGTCGGGTGGAAAGAGAGCAGGTTCGGTAGATTCGGTCAGGAAGTTTTCTCACTTTAGCGTTTCTTATGACTATTTAAGGAATGATAGACCTTCGACTTCATAGAGTTGGAGTACAAAACAAACAAACAAACAAACAAACAAACAAACACCAAAACCTCATCCTTTTCTTTGAATTTCTTCTCAACTTCAAGTTCACAAGGCCCACTTGATGCAAGTTTCCATGTGTCATGCCGGCCTCTTCCATCATCAACCGTAGTCACACCGCCCCACCAGTTCCCTTCCTACTCACTTCCACCGCTCCTTCCCACCATCCGTATAGATTTAAATAAGCACATCCCCCTCAACAACCAATGAAAACGCACTTCAGCGAATTCATTTCAACAACAGGCTTGATAGTTCAGTGGCAGAATTCATGCTTTGGGTATTTTATTCCTAACTGTATGAGGTCCTGGGTTCAATCCCCAGTCAAGCCCTTTCTGTTTGTCTGATTCATTTTTATCTTAGTATCTTTTTGTGGTGTCTAGGTTCAATCTTCTATTCTAACCTGATAGTTATTTTTTTTAATTTGGGTTTTGAGGTGTGGGAATTTTGTAAGCGAGCGAGCGTGAACCCCGCCCCCTATTTTTAGGCGAGTACGCGAACGAGGACTTGGGGGAAGGAGGATAGCTCATTATGGGTCGTTATTAGACATGATCTTTGGGGACGATCAAGTATCGTTTTTGAGCCTTTGAGTGAGGTATCATGCTTTCAACCTTCGTCAAACCTTCGTCAAAACTTCAGTCCATGGAGGAAGTCCGTTCGCGTTTTCTGTTGAGCCTTTCCTTTCTTCCAGATTGCCGCAGCAAAGAGCTTACAAGCTTCAACTACCCCTCTACCACACTCTATTCCCCTCTCTATTTCATCCTTACGTTTCATTTTCATCAACACTCCAAGGGAGGATCCCTTTGATATCTCGTGACCTCGCTCAGATCCCACTCGCATGTAATCTTCATGCGAGTAACCCTTTTCTCCTACTCATTTTCCTATCTACTAGAACTTTAGCCCCTCGAACCCTCGAACACACTTTAGTCAAGTTGAAGCTTCTCCCGTTGAGTCTCCGCCAAGATGTCCACCCAAGCCGTAACCGAGACCGTGATCCTACACGCAAAAGGCATTACAATCACAGACACAATACCTGAGCCTGGAACCAAGTTCCTCTCGCTATCGAATATGATGAAGAGACAGGATAGAGTTGGTAAGAAATACTGGGCAAGTCATCCCTCTCCTCCCTCTAAGCCATGGCTTCACCCGACTTCGCTCCCTTCCAAGACCTCCTGAAGGAGATTTTCGATACAGATCAAGGGCAAATGATGAGTATATCTCCCTCTATCCCTCCCCCTTTCCGATCACTTCCCATCTCTAACAAGATCAAAGCTGAAATTGGAACAGTATTCACAAACTGGACATCCTCCGCAGCAGCATCATTCAAGTCCAAGTCACCGAAATCGCTTTCTGTACCTTGCCAGAAGAATACGGAGAAGCAGAGAAGAAAATCATCGAAGATGCTCTCGTGTCTGTGAATCGCAATGTTCAAGTTGTTGGCAAAGCTACAGGTGCTGCTATTGGATTTGGTATTCTCCCCTCCCCTCCCCCTCTTCCCTCAAAATCCGACAAGTTGGACAAGGTGGCCGAAGTTAAACCCGCAAAGAATAAATCAACACCAGAGGGACAGGTAATCGCTCTCCATGGCGTGTATGGATACGACAGTATAGATGTGCACATAAAATGGAGAATGTGCATTTTCAGGAGGGGCCTTTAGTGCTCAGAAGGCGCGGGGAGAAACTGAGGGGGCCTAAGAATGACGATGCTTTGAGCGGATAGGAAGCTTCTCAATTCTATCTCAAAGTTGGCAAAGCCTTCTTGAGTCATATGATGAAAAACATTTTGCCTACCATATGCACCAAGGAAGTGGTCCATCTAGGTTTAACTGTATCTGAGCTTTCTTCTCATAGCCATACAGACTTGAGTCATCCGAAATTCCTTGGCCATCATCAGATGAGCGCCCTTGGTTGCGAGTCGGACTCAACTGTCCAGTGGACACTGCCTTATGAGGCACGCAGGAAGCATGCCTTGCCGCATTCAGACACCGAGTCTTGTCTCAGATATCTATGGACGCCTACGGACTAAGCTTAATATCTGAGTAGGCAGTTTCTCCAATTAAACTGCGCACGAGGTTTCTATAGGGGGTTTTAAGAAAAAAAATTTTCATTATAAATAATTAAATTAAATTAAATTAATATAAATAATTATAAATATATAATAATTTTTAAATTTTAATTTTATAATTTATTTTAAAATCGTTTTTATAAAGAATTATAATAATTTTAATAAATTAAATAAATTATTATATTTATATAATTTATTTAAATTTAATATTTTTTTACGTATTTATAAATAAAAATTGATATTAATTTTTATATTAAATAAATAATAAAATATATATTAAATTATTTTATTTAAATTATTATTAATCGTTTATTTATTTTTATTTATTTTTTATATTCCTTGGGACTAAAATTTAAAACTGAGGCCTATTACGAAGATATAAACTAATGCAAATGCAACTTTGACATAGAAGATCCTCTACCTCGATGTATTGGCGGCGTTTGCATTCGAACGCATCTAGTCGTGCGTACTGAGGTGCAGGCTCCTGTGGGCACACCTTAGGCATCCTCACACCTAGTTACAGGCTTGCCCTATCAAACAATGAATATCGCCTCACGCTGTCCCTCAAGCCAATATAGATGTATTTGGGGCATCATGGCAAATCCTCATCAGGGTATCTAAATGGCCCAATGCGTCAGCTAGGTGCCGAATGCTTCTTGCATAAGCGTACCACCAAGTACAATGATGCAAGAAAGCTCTCCCATGCCTTGCTCTCTAACTGCATTCCTACTGCACAGTCAATTGTCAAGCACTCGTAGATACATTGGATTTTACCTATAAAGGTCGGGTCCCTCTTCGCTACTCACGGTGTCTGTTAGCTATCATAACATTCAATCCTTTGGAGTTGATCTTGATCTCGCTATCCCTACTTTGCTGGACACCCTTAGCCTTCTCTCTCTTCTTGCCTCTCTCTCCTCCCAGCACGCAACATGTCTGCGGCAGATGGCTTTCTTGAGTATATTCCGGTCGATGACATGACCGTACTACTCGCCGACTTGAGCCTCAATGGGCCTTGCATCTTCCTCGTCCTATGCAATCGCAAGAAATTCTTTGTGGAGCTGCTGCCGCTAAATTACGAGCCCGCTGATACCACGGCCGGCGACGCTTACGATATTATGCATGGCTTCCATCCCGGGCCGCGCTACCCTCCCGTCCTCCCCCCTTTGCCTGGCTATGACTCGTCCGGCTCTATCGAGGCTGCGCACCTCAGCCGGCTCTACGAGATGATGTACCCAACCGAGGCCCTCGTCCTTGACCAGGCCGGGAATCAGGTCATCAATGAGATACACAACCTTATCGTCACGGCTGGGAGCCCGACCATCCGAGAGCTTGCCGGGTCCGAAACCGCGCAGACCTCAAGGCAGACGTTAGAAGACGTCCTCAACCCCGAAACGATTCTGCTCCAGATGGTCACCGTGGACGGAGACGCTAAGTTGATTACCCGCGACGACTTTGTTCCGTCTAGCTATGAATCCCGGCCATGTGGCGTAACGGGGCTCCGTCCCGACTTACCTCTTATCCACCGTTCCCAGATCGAAATCCTTGAGGAGATCGCCTTCGAGAGAAGCTACAAGGTCCTTGTGGGAGGCCAAACCAAATTTTGCAAGGTCTCCGTTCGTGACTTTCGGCCCATTTCGCGCGATTGCGAAGTGCTGCAGCAGATCCAGGATGCCGCTCTTGATCCTTCCCAGGTGAAGGTTCCTCATCTCGAGGGCCTGGTGAGCCCAGGAGGTAAAGAGAACGCGTTTGGTCTCCTCACGAATTATATTGAGACGCAGGCGCACCTTGATGATTTCTTCCCTTTGAAGCCTGGGCTTTGTCTGCCTACAGATGCCACGCGGGAGAAATGGGCCAATCAACTAGAGCGGGGCATCCAACTGCTTCATGGGGCGGGGGTGATATGGGGCAATGTGAACCCGTCTAATATTGTTATTGATCAGGATGGTGATTTATGGCTTACGAACTTTAGTAATGGCTTGAACGTTTTATTTACTAGCGCGGAGCGGGCGTGCACGGTGGAAAGTGACTTGGAGAAAATTGTAAAGATTTATTAGTTTTTGGAATTTGTATTTAATTTACTAAGGTTTGCGCAATTTTAAATATTTGATTAATTATATTTTTTTTAAATAAAATTTTTTTTATTATAAATAGTATATTTATTTCGAAACGCGATTTTAACGATTTTTTATTCGTCGTTTTATTTTTTAATAATTAATATATCGATCGCATAAAATATCGTCGAAATCGTATACGATTTTTAAAAGTTTTAACGAATCAAATATAAATACGTTAACGATTTCAAATTTTAAATTATTAAAATTATTTAATTTATTATTTAATATTTTTCGAATTTTCGTTTATTTTATTTTAATTTTACTTTTGAAATTGTTTCGATTTTACGAAATATAAAAATTTTAATAAAATTAGAAAATATTTTTATTTCGAATGCGTAAATTTAAAATAAAATTAATTTTAATACGATTTTTAAAAAGTTTATTATAATCGTTAAAATTATTATATTAATTCGAAAATTGAAATATATATTTAAAAACGAAAAAGAAAATAATTTTAAAAATTTTAAAAATTTCGATATTACGAAAAAAAAACGTTTGATTTTTTTAGAATTTAAAATAAAATATTAATTTCGTACGATTTTTTCAAATAATATTATAAAAGAAATATATAATTTCAATTTTATATATCGAAAAAAAGTATTTAAAAAAATAATTAATTTATTATTTGAAATATTTAAAATCGAAAATAACGATTATAATAATTAATAAAATAATTTTATATTCGAAATATTAATATAAATATAAAATATTATTTTTATTATTTTTTAAATTTAAATACGAAATATAACAAACGATAATAAACGTTATATTTTCGTTCGCGATAATAATAATAATAATCGAAATTTTATTAATAAAAATTTTATCGATATAAAATAAAAATTAAAAAATACAAATTATTTTAATTTAAATTTAAATTTTTTTTATAATAAAAATAATTATATTATAATCGAATAAAATGTTTATTAATACAATATTTATTTTTTCGTAAATTAAATTAAAAATAATATTATCGAATTACGTATTTTAATTATTAAATAAAAATTTTATATTTGTTTTTGTAATATAATTTTAATATAATATTTTAGCGAATTGTTCGAATTTGAAAAAAAAAAATTTAAATTCGATTAAAACGACGTTTTTATATAAATCGATATATTTATTTGTAAATTTAAAATAATTTCAATTACGGTTTT